ACATAACGACCCCGAGATATGCGCCGCAATTTGGCTCCAGGTTGCATTTCAAGCAAGGTCAAGCTTTGCCAAAGGAAGCCCCTTTTCCTTTTTTTTTGGGACCCTTTTTTCTGGGGACTTTTTTTTTTGTTTTTTCTTAGCCCTGCAAAGGTTGGCTCGCTTGAAATGCAACCTGGAGCCAAATTGCAAGCGTATCTCGGGGTCGTTATGTTGCAGCCACACGCCTGCGCGCAGCGTTTTAGGTTTCAAATTCTTCGCAGGACGAGGTCGTTTCCTGGACGGACGAGTGCTAGGAGCCTGTCAGGTAGAATAGAGTCCATTTGGGAAACTCCTTGTCTACGACGTCAAACAACAGTCAAACCACGGGCAATAACAATATGAGTTCAGCCGGCTTTGGGGTGACTCTACGGGAGCCTTGCGGTCTCTAATTCGGGAGGCAAGCTCAGATTTGTGTCTTTCATAGGGGCACATCCATCTCGCTTGGCAAGGGCCCCTGTACGGCAGCTTCGTGGGTGACCAGGGCGCCTGGAGCATGGCCAAGATGTATTTCACAGTGCCTCCGAACGGAGTTGCGAAGCTTCACTTCCAAACCCGGGCCTGCCCAACCAGACGGCTGGAACGGTGGACGTCTACGGCCTCCAGATCAGCCCTGCTGCTGAGGCACGAGTTCCTCGACGGAGGGGCCGACGACGTCACGCTGGCCACCCTGGGCGAAGTGCTGCTGGAGCCCGCTCACCACGCTAGGCAATTCCAACAGCCAGAGCTGCGTGGAGCTTCGCGGTGGGAGGCTTCCAGCTGGAGGGCTACGCCATGACCCTGAGCGCCTTCGCCTGGAACATCGTGCGCACCTACACCCTGACGCCAAAAAAAAAACTACTCCTTCGGCTGCCGGTACCGGCTGGGCACGGCCAGCGCGGCCGACAACGACTACGCGGGCGTCACCGGCACCTTCCTCGGCACGGCCGCGCAGGGTGTCACGGCGCGCCTGGACTTCTCGGTGCCGCCTGGCGGAGTCGTACAGCATGCAGATCAGGGCCTCGGCCTTCGAGGGAGAGTCGGTCTCCGTGACGGACCTGCTGGCCGACTTGCTGGCGGGCTCGGCCACACTGGACGGGCTCACCGCGCAGGGCAACGTGGGCTGCGACCAGCTGCTGTGCAACGACGTGAACTGCACGGATGTGTTCGCAACGGGCGTGGACGCCTCGGGCGCCATTTCCTGCGCAGCGCTCGCAGCAACCGGCACCGTCGCCGGAGCCACGCTGTCGTCCACGGGCGCCGTGTCGGGCAGCTCGCTGAGCATCGCCGGGGCGGCCAGCGTGGGCCTGCTGAGCTCGGCCACCGGAATCACCGGCAGCACTCTCACCATCAACAACACGGCCAACGCCGGGAACTTCACCACGGTGGGCGACGTGTCCACGGGCACGCTGACGGCCGCAGAGCGCCACGCTGACCATCACCGGGGCGGCGTCCGCGGGCCCGCTGGACTGCGAGAGCCTGGGCTGCACCTTCACGACGGCGGAGTGTCGGCGACGCGACGAGCTCGGGCACGGTCTCCGCGCCGCAGCTCTTCGCGTCCAACACGCTCACCGTGACCAACACCTCCGACTTCTCGGACGATCTCTTCCTGACGAAGAACTGGGCGGGCTGGAGCAAGCTGCAGATTTCCAACAACAGCGCGGCCTCCGACAGCGGCCTGGAGCTGCGGCTGCTGGGCAACCAGAGCACGAGGGTCTTCCTGGAGCGGGACGGTGGGGCGCGCCAGTGTGAGCTCATCATGATCAACGACGAGGGGCTGGTGAAGACGAAGAGCCTCTCGACGCAGCTGTCCTGATCGCAGGCAACACGGGCAACGTGGTCTGCAACACGAGCTTCACCAGCCTGTCGGACAGCAGGGTGAAGACGGAGATGGCCGAGGCCGACGTGGCAGAGCTGCTGCAGCTGTTCGACTCCGTGCAGGCCAAGCAGTACAAGCGCCCGGACATGAACGGGAACCTGAGGCCTCGAACGAAGTGGAAGAACCTGACGGGCGCTGCCAGGTGGAGCGACGGCACCGAGATGATCACGCTCGACTACTCGCACCTCACCAGCGTGCTCTGGGGGGTGTGCAAGGGCTTCCAGGGCCGGCTGGACGAGGTGGAAGCCTGGCAGGCCCAGCAACGGCCGAAGAACCCATAAGAAACATGGCTGACGCCCGCAGACGAACCATCAAGGCCGTCTACGAGGATCCCCGCACCAGCTTCGGCAGCGTAGCGCAGACGCTGCGGCAGGCTCAGTGCGCAACCCCAGCATCTCCAGACACGAAGTGAAGGCGTTCCTGGACGGCCTCCGGGTGAACCAGGACCGGCAGAAAGGCTACAACAGCTTCGTGCCTCTGGAGCCCATGAACCAGCTGCAGGTGGACCTGGCAGACATGAAGGCCTTTGTGGGCAAGCCCTACCCCTTCATGCTGGTGGACCAAAAAAGCCGCTGAAGGACCGTCTTGCGACCACACCGCGGCGGGCGTGAAGAAGGTGTTCCAAGCCCTGGGGGTGCCGGCCAACGTGTACTCCGACGACGGCTCCGAGTTCAAGAGGGAGTTCAAGGAGCTGATGGATTTCTGGGACATCGAGAAGCAGGTGACCAGGGGCCACGCCTACTTCGCGGAGCGCACCATCCGCACCATCAAGGAGGCCATGTTGCGTCGCACAGCAGCCGGCGGGGCCAGTGGCACCTCATGCTGCCTGACGTCTTGAGCCAAATCAACGGAAGGAAGCACGCTACCAATACCACGCAGGTTTGTGCCGCAGCAAGCGCCTCCGGGCCCGGGCAGCATAGTGGATTGGGTCGAGCCCCGACTGCGCCCGGAATAGCTCTCCATCACGTCCGCCAGGGCCAGGACGTCGGTGTGGAGGTAGCATGCAGTCGTGGAACTTGCGGAAGGTCTCCCAGGCCATGACGTTGGCGGTGTTGACAGCCACCGCTTTTCCAGCCAGCACGCTGTCGTAGCAGTGCTGCTCCCACACCGCAGGCTTCTCCCACGCGTCGGCAAAAGTGCTCGAAGGGCATGGGCAGCTTGCGCAGGATGCAGTCCAGTGCGTCCGCCGCTGTTTGAGAGGCCGTCTTTGAGGCGGAGTCCCGACAGTGGCCAGCCGTACCGACTGTCACTCTTGCATGGTCTTGCGGACGACCCAGACATCAAACCCCGCAGGAGCCCTATCCAAATTGCCCCGCAGCATGCAGTGGCCCAAAGAGCACGCAGACCTGCCTCACAAACTCGCAGAATGCATGGGCAACTGGAAGGCCGCCGAAGCAGAGCCCGACACAGTGTCGGCTCTTTTGGAAAAAAGAAATCTCCAACGGATGGCTCATGCGCATCGCTTGGAGTGTGCCTTGCTGCGCACTAGCAGATGCACGCTTTGCATCTTCCAGGTCCAGCCGCAGCTGGCACCCCACAAACATAGTTCATGGCATGCCCCGGCATGCTGTAACTGCCGCCAGGCCCCAACCTGGCGCCGTGTGCCCCGTTGCACACCAGCTGGTTGCACGCTTTGCATCCTGCTTGGCTTAATGTGCCGCAACGCACACCAGCCGGATGCCTACATTGCACCCGGCCGCCATCAATGCCTTCGACTGTTGCACGCCTCACAGGTAACAGACCTGACACTTGGTCGAACACGCACTGTTGACCACGGGGGCATATGAGAAGGCTCCGCAGTGGGGTGCAGACACGGGGAAAAGACACGCGCTGTCTTTCCCCCTGCACCTCCGAGCCTTAACTTCCAAGCAACGCCTCAGAAAGAAAAAGAGCGTGCATACATGTTTGTCGGTCGCACCTCTTCTTTCTTTGGCTGCATGTTCCCTTTCGGATTGAAGCAGTGATCAAGATTCTAACTGTGTGTCTGTGTGTCTGTGTGTCTGTGTGCCTGTGTGTCTGTGTGTCCGTGTGTCTGTGTGTCTGTGTGCCTGTGTGTCTGTGTGTCTGTGTGTGTTTGTGTTTGTGTTTGTGTGTTTGTGTGTGACAATCCTTTCTTCGGGGCCTTGGCTCGGTTTTGGTCGATTCCAGTTTTTCCGGGCAGCCCTGTGTGGGCCAACGAAGTTGGCGGACGCTCAAATGTGTGTACCTGCGTGAAGGTGTTTTTGCAGATCGTGTTAGCGAAAGACGATACAGTGCTTGCAAGAGAAGAGTCGCATTGATCAAGCGATCTTTCGGGGAACAGGCAGAATCATATTGCGTTTGTGTCTGCGTCTTGAAAAATAACTTGGGTCAGCGTCCTTCACACGAGTTGGCGGCCCAAGTTTTCAGCTCCTACCGCATTTGCGCCGTTTCCCAGCCACAACAAATTCTGATCCGCTACCAAGGCCTGCATCCTTCCTGATTGCCCGGAAACGAAATTTTGTTTTTGTGCGGACCGAAGAACGAGTAGAAAAAAAACTGTGAGCAGGCTTTGTGTTTTTCCATCTTTGGGGTGGGGGGGGTAGCGCCTCCAGCATCATTTGGACCAGCTTGGTTCTTGGTGCTGTGTCGCTCGGCAGTCAAAAAATACTCAGAATTGTTGGGCTGGCCTCTGGAGGCATCTCAGGCTGTGCCAAATGGACAAGGCGTCGTTTTTGACCACACGCTGCTGCCATTCACTCGCAATGAGCTGCGGCTCTCTTTCTGTATCGCCGCTGGCAAAGTGGTGGCTTCTCTCACCAGGACAGCCCCCTGTTAGGCCAAAAGGGCTGCTTTTCGCGGGTCCTCCCTTTGTTTCAAGGCAACAAGCCATGGTTACCCGTGCCCGGTCTTCTGCGCGCTCAGTTTTTTTTGTTGCATTGGCTGATGCAAGAGAGTTGCTTGAGCGGTAGAGGGAGTGAGCCACGAGTCAAACTGATTTTGAGCCAATGTTTTGATGGGCTCCGCTCGAGCCATCCATCAAGGACAGCTACTTTTTTCAGAGATTCTGTTGGGTGCTGCCTGCTGAATTGTGAGAACATTTAGCTAGTTTTGACACGGCGCATATACCCTCTGCGTTCGGCTCCTTAGATCCTGCGTTCCTGGGGGCGCAGGGAAGCGACTCTGATGCAAATGGAGACAGTGGCGTTTGCAAGTCCGTGCTTGCATCTTGACATTTGGAGGACATCTCTCGGCAAGTTTTATACTTGTGTGTGTGCAGCGTGGAGCGAGGTCTTTTTGCCCTTCATGGCGCGGCCAGGGAAGGGCTTTCTAGCCCCAGCAGGCCTAGACTTCCTGCTGTGGGCTGCAAAGAACTCATAGATTTTTTGCTTGGCTGGGGCTCGTGAGGAGTTCATGTGCCCATAGGTGTGGTGCTGATTGCTGCAGCAGCTGCATACCACATAGTGCCTGAGTTGCAATGAAGGGGCTCTGGTAAGGGGTCCTTATGTTTTCATATTGGCCGAGATAAGGACAGCCCATACATGTTGCCTCGCAATGCACCAGCGTGGGAGTGTGGGGTTGATAGATGCTGATGTGGGAAGTAAGTGGCCCGCCCAGACAAAGTGGCAAGTCAGTAGACGCACCTTCAGACACTCAGACACTCAGCGCCCAGAATCGGCCGTATCGTTGAGGAATCCTTAGTTTAGTATTCCAGTCTTAGGGTTGGCTTATGGACTTGAACATTGGTTTTCCAGAGCATCCCAGTTCTCTCTTCGCGCAGAGTTGTCTGTTGCTATTGGCTCCGCATACCTCCCAACATCATCTGCCTGCTTCCTTTTGATTTCCCTTAAGACCACCAAAAAGGCGCCCCCGCAGAAAAAGACAGACCCATTTTGATAGCACCCTTTTAGCTGTCCCAAGCCTGGCACATGAATAGGTTTTTTGTCCCGGACAGAACCCGGTCATTTGGGAGCTCCGCATTGCGCGCCTCGGGCCCGCATCGCAAGCCTGGAGCCCAGGCGCGCCTCAGCCCCGCCTTTGTGGCGCCGCCGCTGCTGTCGGAGACGGGCCGAGGCCCGAGCTGCCGTTGGCTCGACCAGTTCCATTTCTTTTCCTCCTTTTTTGTGATTTGTTTTTTGGGGGGAGAGATATGTGTTTGGGAGCATGGGAAGTTTAAGAAGATTGTGGTTTGAACAAGTTGGGCGGGGTTGGGGGCTTGGGGACAAAGCTCAGGATGCGATGTATTCCTGAAGGATTGCCTTTTGTAGGTCTGTGGTAGAGTTGAGGTTCCTAAGTTTCTCTTTCTGAGGTTGGCTGTTTGACAAACCATCAATTGCACATTGAAAAGGAGAAGAAAACAAGAGCCATTCCCCTATTTGGCGACGAACCCAACAGCTTGCTTATTCTTAAGGACTCGGGAAATGAGGCCTCCAATTCCGCAATGGTCGGCAAACGGCTTCCTTGCATTCTGGATCAGACAGGACCTGCAAATCTCGTGGGTGTTGACCAAGCTCTTCGTGAGTGGGCTTCTCTCGTCTTTGGCGCTTCCGTGCGCATCGGTCGGATCCCGCGGCAGGAGCCGCGCTCCGGGGCGCCAGCAACTTGCCGAAAGCCAGGGGCGAGAATCGCGCAGGCAGGTGGCAGAGAACCCAGGTTTGGGTTGGTATCTTCCAGAAGGGCCTTTAACAGACCGTTGTGCTTGTTTTGTGGTGCCAAATTCGCTTCCTCAGGATGGTAGGCTATTGTGGCAGTACAATTCTGTGGCAACAAACAGTGCTCCGCTCTCGCCTTTGCCACAGGAAGCCTTGCTTTGGGCGTGTCTGCCGCGGTTCTCCTCATTAAGGCTGCAAGCTTCAGGACTGACGTCAGCTTGCCATTGGCATTTGATGGACTAAATGAGGCAGTCGCGAGTCGCATCGACTTGCTAAGCAGTGTCTGCCAAGCTTCTCACTGAGGTGAGCTCCCGCCTCCACTTGGAGGTTTGGAAGAAAACGGGACGAGAATCCGCAAGTTTTTTTTGTTGTTGTTGTTTTTTTGTAAGGTTGGTCCAGAAAAACATGACGCATGACATTATTTTGTCAACATTTCGCACGCACCTGATGAGAAGATCACAGTCAAGTGGGTGTCCAAATTTGCATTCGTTTGAAACAGCAGCCATTGGGTAAAGCAGGTTTGCAACCTTAGGGTTTGGGGTGCTGCAGCAGCTGCCAGACAAGTCTGAAGTTTTTGCAGGAGGGCACTCCGAAGTCAGAGGACTGTGCTTCAGGCAAGGGATGCTGGGTCAACTGGGTGGGGCACAGCACGGCACACACATACACACACACACACACACATATATATATATATATATGTATATATATATATATAATATATATATATATATATCTTCCCAATGCTTGTTATTGTGTGTAATATGGCTGTGGCCTGTACCCCCACAGCCGTATATATTTATGCCCTCAAGCGCGCTGAGGCAGAGAAAACCCCGCTTGAGGCCCTCGCGGTGGGTGAGAAAGAGTTCGGTTCCAAGTTGTGAGATCTCTCGAGAAAAAACAAAAAAACAAAAAAAACACTCGCGAGCTGGTTGGCAGCCTCCCTTACACTCGGTGCCGTTTTGAGACATCCCAGCCAAAACATCATCAGAAAAGATATGACAAGACATGTACGTTGATTGCCATACAGCTTTCACAAGTTTCTCGCATAGCTGCCACACTGCTTGATCTTGTTTAGCATCGCCTCAAAATGCAACGTGCCCGTCTCCTTTTGTGTTCACATGGTACGCATGTGAGTACTTCCGAGGTTCACAGGCAAAGTTGTCCGAGATGCGAAGATCGGTGTCTACGTTGACATTGGTGCAGAGAAGGTGGGAGCGGGATCAAGCGCCCGTGCTTGGAATTTGGTGTTGCTGAGTCTCCAAGATGTCCAATGTTAGCGTTTGTGTGAGTCGTTTGTTTTGCTGTTGGGATCGAGTTTTTGGTGATTCGGTACGGCAAAGTTGTTGTTTGACGCCTGCTGCCAACGTTGTCGATCGATTAAAGGGCCCTCTCTGGAAGATTAGCTGTGCTCCATGGGGTGTGGCTTCCACGTAGAGAGCCAATTGGCTGTGAGGATGCCTTGCTGCCGCGGAACATGGTCCCGAAAGCGCGGATCCCAGGGCTTGGTGTGAAGGTCTGCCATGCGTGGGTTCATGTCTTGGGGAAATTTGTGGATATGTTGAGGAAGCCAAAAGAAAGGCAACCACGGCAAAGAGCGAGGTTCTGGTCATGTTGCAACGCTTGGTTGCCAGGATAAGAAGTACGAGGAGGGCGAGACAATTGAGAAGCTTAAGATCTTTGAGGCCTGGGAATAGATGGATGTCACCAAGCGCCAAGAATCCTCACCGAGCGCACAGCTTGGAGAACGCCAGCTTCACTTGCAACTTTTGCTTTTGTATCTGTCACGATACACGTCTTTCTCTTGCTTTTGAAGTGGATGTGTGTCTTCCTTGGGCATGACTTGCAAACCGGCAAAGCACAGCAGTGCGGCATGTCCCGTGCCCTGCAGCTTCAAACTGGCGACACTCCTTCAACCAGAAAGATCAGGCAGGCGGTTGATTTGCAGCGTCTTGCCCCCGAGCCACGTGACGTTTGAGGTGTTTGTCTGAAAGGGGAAGCCAGGTGGTCCCTTTGGCATCCCACTTTCCAACCCAAAAACTTGCTGGTTTCTCAGCAGGAAATGAGAGAAGAAAAAAACAAAGTGAATTCAATAGTTAGAGAAGATGAACTCGCAAGATCATGTTTTCCAGTTTAGGGTTATATACCGTTATAAACCGTCCGTTTCTGGTGGTTTCCTCTATTCGAGAACTGGATTCATTCAACCACGATTCCCTACCTCTTGCACCGATCGCGAGAAGACGCCAGGGTGACGCTGGGTGATCTGCCCACCAGCAGGGCAGAGGGCGACAAGGCCGAATGCAAAGCGCCCATTGAGCATGTGAGACGGTGATCAAAGGCAAAAATCCACATTTTGGTTTGGGCTTCCCAACCCCCCCTGGGAGAAACAGGCCAGTTGCTCTGGTCCGTCATGTCAGAACACACTCCCCATCCAGTGGCGATGGACAAAAGTCCGCCCTCTTCTTGCTAGTTGACTTGAAAGGGACACCAAACCATAAAAGCCCTAGGCTTAAACCCCAAAACCCCAAAACTCTTTCTTTTCCCGACTCCAACTGCCCAAAAAATACATTTTTCCGCTGGCTTTTCTCCTCTCGTGTTTGCCGGTTCCTTCCCCGTGCGGATTGGGGGAATCGTCCATCGGGGTCCATCCGGGTCCAGGTGACCGGCACGGTGCGGTCCGCCGTGGCCTTCGGCGTCTTCGTGGACATCGGCATGGCGCGGGACGCCTTGGCGCCCTCGCGGTTTTTGCCCGAGAACCCCATGGCCTACAAGCAGGGCCAGGACGGACGTCGGGACACTTGGGCGTGGGGGACACGCTTGGGACGTAGAGAAGGGGAAGGGGAAGGGGGGAAGGGGGGATCCTTTTTTTATTTTTCCGGAGGAAGGGGGGGGATGGGGGGGGTCATGTTATTTTTCATTTTTTGGTCCAAGGTGGACCGACACCTGGAATACCTGAAGGTAGGGGCAACGGTTGATTTCGTGTACAGGTGGGTGCGTCTCAAAATTACGGCCCCCCTAACACGGTTGGTTTCCTCTTGGTTTCCCTGAAGAGCCAAAAAGCTCTAAATGGGGGCCTTCTAACCGAAACGGGCCTGTACTCTTAGTGTAGGAGATCGGCTTGTTTTGAATGACACGACTTGACAATGACACGACTTGACTCTGCATTCAGGAGCTGGAGCTCGAAGTGATCAGCATCGAGGGTGACAAAGCGCAGAGCTCACTGTGTTTCCTCCTGGGTTCAGTTTGAACATCGGGCTGTGCTGTGTTGCTTATTAGCGAGGGGTCTCTTTCTTGAGGCAGATTCATGACGTGCCGAGTTGGGCCGATGCGAGGTGGTGGTGGGCGTTCCCGGGGTATCCCAAGACACCAAGCCCACAGCCTCTGTGACCCTGGGCCAACAAGTCACAGGCGCTCCACTCGAAGAGTTGCAGCTGATCGTGAGGTCTCGGGTGTGTTCTTTTTGAAGGTGCCTGAAAAAAAACCGAGGGGAAGCAGGTCTTGGGTGTGTTCTTCGTGAAGGTACCTGTGTTCGTTTTTGGAAGGCAAGCCCAGTGGAAACAGCCAGTTTTGGAGGCTTCCCCATGAGACAATCCCATGGGGTGGGGGCAGTTTCGCGCAACGCGTGGGCCGTTTGCCCAAGGGTTTTCAAGTGGCCTGAATGCATAATCAGCACGTTCCACAGGCTTGAGGCTTCAGGCTGGTAGGGTTTTTTGGTTTCAGACATTCGCATTTTAGGGCATGATTTTCGGTGTTAAACGACGAGGATTTGCTGGAACTGGGCTACTTGAGAGTTCCAGGCTGATTGGATATTGCAGGTATAGATGTAAGGACTTAGCTTTGAAGCCGAATATCCGGTGTAGGCTGCAGGTTCTCGAGGACTGTGAGTTTATGTTTCAGAATTAAAGATGTTGAGGTTTCCGGCTGAAATGGCTACCATGTTAGGGTTTAGGCTGAAGGTCCTTTGAGGCGGGGCTTTAGTTTTGGACAAGGATGTTGGGCGCTCTGGGTTTGCCAATGCAGCTTGGCCCCTGCCCTGGACTTGCGTAATCGCAGTGCCTTTCTTCCCGTTGAATGTAGAATCGTTAACCATGCGCGCGTTTTGTGTCACCTGACAAAGGGCATTTGTCGCCTGGTGTGCAGATTTTGCGCTTGCGAACAGCAAGAAACGCACAAACCGTGATAATCTGCGACTGTGCAAGCCGAACAACAGCACGTTTCGTGTCGTCTGCCAGTTCAAACAGGTGCCCGTCCTCCTGTGTCCCTCCTCGAGAGACGGGCTCTTCTGGGCCCTAATTTGGCCGGGGACCCTCGCAAAGAAATCGATTTGCCTGAATTCGGAGGTTGGGGGGGCGGGATATTTTGCAGTGGGGCGTTCAGCCGTCGGCCCAAGCAGGCACTGTGTCCAACGCCAACGAGCAGTGCGCCGCAGAATCGGGCTGTGACTGCCTGTGAGTCTGACATGCTTGTGGCATTCCTCGTAAGACCACCTCTGGTCTGTGAAGAGGCAGCATCAAAACATACACGCGCGCACACACAGGTACGGCGTGTTCTTCAACATCGGGCTTCAGCGAGATGCGCTTTGCTTGAAGAATCAGCTCGACAAGGACATCTCCGAGTACAAGGCGGGGAGCAAGAGGGGCTTCCTGCGTTGGTCCTGGGCAATTCCTGCTGGGCATGTTGCATAGCTCGAAGGCATCCATGTGCAGTCGGCATTCGAACCGCCCGCCATGCGAGTCGCCGAGTCGCTCGGTCGCTTCCCCGGACTTGGCTCAGGAGGGGGACAAGGTGGAAGGGCTGCGGGTGGCCAAGATTGACGGGGACAAGATCGAGGTGACGCCCCGGCCCCTGGCGTCGGCATCTCAGGCTTGAGGTTGACGCTCGGATTCCATGCAGTTGGGCTGGTGATGTATTTTTTCTTCTTCTTGTTTTCTGGAACAGTTTTTGTTTCTTCTTTTATTATCATTATTATTATTATTATTATTATTATTATTTTTTAAAGGGCCTTTTTTTTTCGTCTCTGGAACAGTGCACTTAATGTCCAGTTTGGACATCCGCTGAAGAGAACAACAGGTGCTGGGGATTGGAAGGATCTTGCCTTCTTGAGGTCAGAGGCGAAAGTCGGGCAGACTCTGGACGGCACGGTGGTCAACATTGTCAAGGCGCATCCATATGGCCATGCGGAACCTATGGCGATCCCATTTTGGGGTGGATGAACATCCATTACCTATTTTGAGGTTCACCAGGACAGGGTTTTGACCCACAACCTGGGCTGCCCCTTTGTTTCAATCCCAGCGTCGTGCCGTTGCTGGGTGGGCTTCCGTAGGCCAAGAGAGTTGGTTCAAAACGATTGGAATGCGCTCGGTTCACAACAAATAATAATAATAATAATAATAATAATAATAATAATAATAATAATAATAATAATAATAATAATAATAATAATAATAATAATAATAATAATAATAATAATAATAATAATAATAATAATAATAATAATAATAATAATAATAATAATAATTAATAATAATAATAATAATAATAATAATAATCAAAAAAACGAAAACATCGCCGCTTCATGATGAAGCAATCGCGGATTCCAAGACTATCCGTGGCACTCACTGGCTCGCTTTGTACCAGCTGTGCCTTTTCTGGAAGCCAGAACGGCATCTTCTTCGACGCCGGGCTAAGCTCCGATGTCCTGGCGCCTGTGGCGCTGCTCAGCCGGCGCCTCGGAACGAGCCACGAGGCCCGGGAGGCGCTTCAGCCGGGGGGCTGCGACCCAACGCATACTGTGGATGGTTGCGAAGTCCATAAACCGCACTGCTTGGAAACCAGGGTTGAAACCAGAAGGCTTGTTGGTATTTACGTTGGGGAAGCATCCGAAACCAGGGTTTCTAAGGCGGTGCGAAATGGATTTCGTCCATCCACAGTAGGGCACGTCCCCCTTCAGGTGGCTTTTGAAAGTGCCTCTTGTTTCCGCAAGTAGGGGCAAAACAGCAACAAGTCCCACTCAGAGTTTTTAGCCAGTGGTAGTTTGATTTCGGCAAACCTGACAACCCCTGGGTCTACTTGTCTACCTTTGGGTAGGTAGAGATCGGAGCTCCCACGCGAGCATGCCTTGGCTGGTTCCTTGACTTCCCAAGGATCCGGCATCTCAGAGTACAGCCGCGGACAGGCGCTTGGACTGGATTGCAATGGCGATTTCATGGCTGTTGTGAAACATTTGACCATTTTGCTTGTTGTGGTTTAGTATGGTTTAGTGGTTGAAATCCAACCACTTAACTGCTAAAACTTAACATTTTTGCTCCCCAAACCCAACGTCCACCATTCCAGGTGGCCGACCTGGTCGTGACGCAAGTCCAGAACGACAAGGTCATCGTCTCCGACAGGGACCTGAAGGCGTGGGTCGTGACCGGAAGCAAAAACGAGCGAAGGCGCATCGAGTTTTTCGGCGCGCAGGATGTCCCCACCTCCTTGGAGAACTTGAACCGTGGCCAAGAGGTCACCGGCAAGGCGGGGGGATGCGTGGCATGGCGGGTTTGCGTATGCCCTGCTTCGCATGGCGCGTGCAGAGAGAAAGCGCTTGCAAAAGCGCGTTTCGCCCAATTTCGCGGTCGCGAGGTGAGGAAGGTGGAGCCTATGATGGGGATCTTCATGGACATCGGGGCCAGTAAGGAGCGGTTTGCCGCCGCTTGCCGCTGGGGGGCTTGGTGGGCTTCTCGCTGCAAAGGGTCCAGTACTCTTTGGTCTTCACGACTTTGCTCCGTACTCGCGCATCTGTAATGCATTTGCAAGCCAACACGCTTTGAAGGCAACCGACATAGCCATGAATTTTAATAGGGAGCCCCCTGAAAAGTGATTGGTGGACATGAATCTCCACCTAAATGATGTCCACCAAAGGGCCCCTTATTAAAATTCATAGCCACATGTTGACGGGTCACTTGCGTGGCGTTGGAAGCTCCGGCGCCTTCCGACTGGCGCCATGGACGACCAGCGCCTGGCCCGACTGGCGCAGAGCATTGCGGACTTCTGGCGGCCGGCGGCCGTTCCTTCTCGGGCTTTGGGGGAGGTCTCGGCGGTGCAGTTTCTGCGAGAGCACGTCGCCCTGTCACAGCCCTTGGTCTTCACAGACCTGCCAGCTTGGCCATGTCTGACTCGCTGGAGCGACGACTATCTTCTCTCGCTGGACGCGGTCGTCTCGGTGAACCTCACGCCGGACGGGCGAGCCGACTCCGTGGACGGCTTGGGCCGCTTCGTGAAGCCTTTGGAGGAGCGGATGCACTTCAGAGACTTCTGGCGCAGCTTCTCCTCTGCTGATGTGCCGTACCTTTCCAGGCAGAATGATTCGCTGAGAGAGGAGTTTCCGGAGCTTCTGAAGGACGTGCCAGACGCGGTGCCTCTTGCACGAGATGCCTTTGGAAATGAGCCGGAGGCGGTGAACCTTTGGATTGGCGATGATAGGTCGGTATCTTCTTGCCACAGCGACCCTTATGAGAATTTCTACATGGTCGTGCGGGGTGAGAAGAAGTTCACGCTATTCCCCCCGGCCTGTGCGCCTTTCCTGCACGAGCAAATGGTTCCAGCCGCCACCTACGTGAGGAATGCCGGGAGGTTGGAAGCTGTCCTGGACGGTGACGGCCAAGGTGTTCCGTGGATCCCGTTCGACGTGGCGGAGGGCGAGTGGGACCGGTTTCCCCGCTTCGCCAAGTACGGCCGGGACCTTGGAGTGGAAGTGACCGTGAAAGCCGGGGAAATGCTCTACCTGCCCGCCATGTGGTATCACCGAGTCGCCCAGCACGGACTCACCATTGCGGTGAACTACTGGCATGACATGCAGATTGGGCACGCGTACCTGTACCACCAGTTTCTCCGCGATGCTTGCGGTCTTGATGTTCCAGAGGAAGATGGCACTGCTTGACCTTCTTTTGCTCGCGCAACTCGTGACTTCAGGCAGCATGGTTTGGGGCTGGACAGCTGCTGACTCGTGTCCGGAAGATGGGGGTGTCCTCGGAGCGCAAGCTGTTCCTGCGGCGATGTTGGGCCGAGCACCCAAGCTGGCAAGTGCTTCTGTGGCATGTAGCATGGGGCCGACGAAGCCAATGCTTCCTCAGTCATCGCTTTGGGTGCCGCTTTGGATGTGATGCCGAAGTTCTAGCCAAATTGGGGAAGGCTCCGAAGATGAAGGCCAACGAGCCTTTCAAGTGAAACGCTCAAGGGTGCTTTCGCGACTTGGTCAGCCTGGAGTTCGGGACCGTCGCCGATTTCGGGCATTGGCTCAAAAGAGTCTCAGCTTGCAAGCAAGCCGCGCTTGAGACTGCCTTGAACCTTGATGTGGTTTCTCACGCTGAAGGAACACAGTTTTCTTTGAAGTGGCTTCTTGCAGTCTACAGTCTTTTTATGCGGCCGGTGTTGAGGGCAAACGTTCCTTTGCGTTCTACGGTTCAATAATGGCAAACTGATTGCATCATACATGCATTGTTTGGGCAGATTGTCTCGCACGACACGTTCCAATGCACATAGCCATTTTGCCCTTCACTCTTGAGCTGAGGCTTGACGCTACCAAACCAATTCTTTCAGAAGCACTTGATTTCACTACTAGAATACACTGTTTACATGGATTTGGCACTTCTTGCGTCTTCATCGGTGTGTCGTTTTTGAGAGTACTCATTCCGGCTTGTTTTCCAGGCAAAAGGGACGCCATCCGGTTCGGAGGTTTCATTTTGAGACAACCCGCGCCAGGACGCCTTGCTGCGTACCAAGGGCATTGGCGCCAGGGTGCTCCCCAAGCCCATCGAGGAGCTGAGTTTTGATCAGTTTGACATTGTTCTAGTGCTACCTCTCTCATTCTTTCCAGGGATCCTTCTTTCTAGAAAACCTCCAGAAACCCGGTGAAAACGTTGAAAAAAATGGGGAAACAACCCCCAGAATTGTTTAAGGTTCCCCCAAGTCACCAAAATGGTTTGATGTAAGGGAACGCGTGGGTGCGTCTTGGTGCAGACCCCAAATTGGTTGGTGTTCCTCTCAGTTCCCCGTGACAAAGGCATAAAAAGGGGGTGCCCTCGATGGCTGCCTGCGCAGCTTGCGCAACCCGCTTGCGAGGAGTACAAAGTGGGCGAGGAGGTGGGATGTGATAGTTCGAGGGCGAGAGCCGCAGAGTTTTTGTTGACGGCCACCGTCTTGGCGATCGCAACTGCCATGATGATGATGATGATGATGATGATGATGATGATGATGATGATGATGATGATGATGATGATGATGATGATGATGATGATGATGATGATGATGATGATGATGATGATGATGATGATGATGATGATGATGATATATTTCAATTGACTCTTGCATGAGATTAGTGTTGTACAGATTTGAACTAATGAGGGCGGCGATGACACTTATGATGAGGTGACAAACACTTTGATGATGACGGTGGTCAATTTCACCATGATGGCAATGGCCATTGTAATGCTCATGGTAGAAGGCAACCATGGCAACAGGGATGGACATGATGTTGATGATGTTGTCAGTCATGAGAGTTTTGATGGATAAGGATGGTAGCAATAAGTTGGACACAGCTATGTCGGTCATGGTAGAATGGTGCGTCTTGGTGACGGCTGTGGCAGAGGTAATAGTTGTAGGTAATCTTGTACAGAAGAAGTATCGGGCATCGCAATGCTTGAATTTGATGCCTGCACCAGGTGCCAAACCTGATCATCCTGCGTGCGGATGCAGCATCGCAGACTTTGGAGGTCCAGATTCTGTCACGTGCATGACGACGGTGAACAGTTGTTCATTGGCTATCCCAAGTGAGTGACTTTGACTTCCACAACTGGGCGCCCAACATGATCTCACAAGTGTCAAAGCTTTTTTTGTTTTTTTTTTTTTTTTTTTTTTTTTTTTTTTAAATTAAGTATGCAGTGTCTCAGCTTCACAGGTGGTCATGCCCGATGCTCCATTGGTGGAGACTAGCCTCGTCCCCAGCACTGGGGGCTGAAGCAGTGCAAGAGATTTACGTTGTGCTAAAATTAACTCTAGCACATGTATAGACTGAAAAGAGCTTCTCAGCCACTCCGGTGATTCACAATCCCACACTGGGGCAGTGGACAATAGACATGCTGGATGAGTTTAACTTGGCATTGAGGCTTGAGTATGGAGGACTTGACTGTGTCTCGGATGCAGCAATTCAGAAAGTGGATGCTTGTTCCGATCGTCCTGTGATTTGACAGGGTTTGTTTGCTGGCTTGCAACCCCTTTGTCCCCTCTGCAACACCCAACAGAGGTTTTAGTTTTAACGACAATCCCAAATGGTGGACATGCATTTGGAGGGTAAGGGACAGTCGCCACAAATTTGGGTTTTCGGAAACTCACGCCTTTCGATTGCTTGAAGCATTCTCTCTGGGCTTTACGGTCACCATTTTGATAGGTATAGGTCTTGACTTGGTTCTGGGCTTACGGTCGCCATTTTTGTTAGCGAGCCTTTTTGTTCAGGGGCTTGTTTGACTCAGCAGATGGAGAAAACCAGACCCTCGACTGCACTTTCTTTTGGCTTTTTGAGTCACTGGAATGGAGGGAAAAAGCAAAAAGCCCCCGGACTGCGACGCCAGGTGGGTCAGGAGGTGGAGGGCACGGTGTCCGGGACCATGGCCTTCGGCCGGCGCCTCGAGTGGATCGGATGGATTGGTCGGGGGTTTGCTCCGGAGCAACCCAGGGGGGTTGGAGGGGGTTGGAGGGGGTTGGAGGGGTTGGAGGGGTTGGAGGATCATTAGATATTTTCCGGCCCCGGCCGTCCTGGGCCCTTCACTTTGCAACACTCCTCTTAAAACAGCTCCTTAGATGCCCGTGTCCATGCGCGTGAGATTTGGCAGGTGTGTTCGTTGACATCGGCGCAGAGAGGGACGCGCTCTATGCGGGCGGCTCAGCAACTCTCAGCCTCGCCTCTCAGCTCGCCTCGGGCAGAGGAGGCGCCATGCAGTGGATAGATATGGGTATGGCTCAAAATTAAAGTGCTGGGGTAGTCTTTGGTTCCATTTACCAAGGTGCCATTTTGGTACCACTTTTTTGAGCCACAGCCATATGCAGGCGCTCAGTCAGCTGGAGAACCCCTTGGAGTCGTACAAGTCGGGCCAGAAGTTGACAGGCGAGGTAAGAAACGTCAGAGGAAGCTTCTCCGAGTCACTCGTTTCAAGGAACTGCGCCCATTTTCCAATCCAATTCACCTTTGCGTGTCCGCGGGCAACGATGCCCCAAGTCGAAACAAGAACACGGCGCCAACTTTGGGCCTCCGCGCAAAGCTTTTGCTTCCCAGGAGTCCTTGTCAGTATGTCAGATCAGCATGTTTTGGTTCGCCGATTCGCCATTCGTCCGGATTGGATGTTGATGTTGCCCATGCAGGCCTGCGTGTGAGCGAGGCGCAGCGGGCCTGTAATTGACTGTCCCATCAACGCTTTTGACCCAAGGAAGTGTGGCTTGCATCAACTGCTGGTTTGATAGGGATCAAAGACAGGGTTGTATCAACCTTTATGGTAGGCGTTAGGGTTTAGGGTGGTGCACATCCCGTGATGTTCAGCTGGCCGGGTTGCGGGTATCACCCACTTTGGACTTTTTGCCCTTCCTTCTTTCCTTCTTTCCTTCCTTCCTTCCTTTCGCCCTTCCAGGCTTCTTTGATTTCAGGCGCAGAAATCCACCTTTCAGGGCCAACCACATGTTTTCCTTTCTTTTTTTCCCCTGGTCTAATTGAAACCGAAGGAGGTCCCAAAGCAAAAGGACGACCAGCGCCAGGGTGGGTTGGGTGGGTGGCGGCAGGTGGACGCCGTGAGGCAGCGCCTGGCAGTGACCATGCGCCCCACGGCGGGCAACTTGAAAGACAAAGAGGGCACCCAGGTGAAGGGCCAGGCGCCAACCGGGGGGGAGGGGGCTTGGGGGGGGGGGGTTGGGGGGGAAGTGTTCTATGTCAATCTGGGCCATTTGTCTCAAAGTAAAGAACCCAAAAGAACCCAACAGAACCCAAGATTCGAAGGTACAAAGTGGTCTTGGCTTCAAAGTCTGGCCGTTGGCCAGGTGCTCAAGGTCATGCCCTTCGGCGTCTTCTTCAACATCGGTGCGCCGAAGGCTCAGAGGCCAGAGGGCACTGAGACCCGTGGACCCGCAGAGGGCCAGAGGGACGTGTGCAAACTTCAAGCTCAGGTCTGCGGATGCGCTGGCTCCCACTAGCCTGCTCAATTCAGATCTTGGAAGCTACAAAGTGGGCGAGGCAGGACGTGCCTGCCTGCCTGCTTGCTTACCTGCCCGCCTGTCTCTCTGTCTCTCTGTCTCTCTGTCTCTGTCTGTCTGTCTGTCTGTCTGTCTGTCTGTCTGTCTGTCTGTCTGTCTGTCTGTCTGTCTGTCTGTCTGTCTGTCTGTCTGTCTGTCTGTCTGTCTGTCTGTCTGTCTGTCTGTCTGTCTGTCTGTCTGTCTGTCTGTCTCTGTCTGTCTGTCTGTCTGTCTGTCTGTCTGTCTGTCTGTCTGTCTGTCTGTCTGTCTGTCTGTCTGTCTGTCTCTGTCTCTCTGTCTCTCTGTCTCTCTGTCTCTCTGTCTCTCTGTCTCTCTGTCTCTCTGTCTCTCTGTCTCTCTGTCTCTCTGTCTCTCTGTCTCTCTGTCTCTCTGTCTCTCTGTCTCTCTGTCTCTCTGTCTCTCTGTCTCTCTGTCTCTCTGTCTCTCTGTCTCTCTGTCTCTCTGTCTCTCTGTCTCTCTGTCTCTCTGTCTCTCTGTCTCTCTGTCTCTCTGTCTCTCTGTCTCTCTGTCTCTCTGTCTCTCTGTCTCTCTGTCTCTCTGTCTCTCTGTCTCTCTGTCTCTCTGTCTCTCTGTCTCTCTGTCTCTCTGTCTCTCTGTCTCTCTGTCTGTCTCTGTCTGTCTCTCTGTCTCTCTGTCTCTCTGTCTCTCTGTCTCTCTGTCTCTCTGTCTCTCTGTCTCTCTGTCTCTCTGTCTCTCTGTCTCTGTCTGTCTCTCTGTCTCTCTGTCTGTCTGTCTGTCTGTCTGTCTGTCTGTCTCCTGTCTCTGCCTGCCTGGCCTGGCTGCCTGCCTGCCTTCCTGCCTGTCTGTCTCTCCGTCTCTCCGTCTCTCCGTCTCTCCGTCTCTCTGTCTCTCTGTCTCTCTGTCTCTCTGTCTCTCTGTCTCCTGTCTCTCTGTCTCTTTGTCTCTCTGTCTGTCGGTCAGTGAAACTCTGTGTGTGTGTGTGCGCGCGTGTGTTTGTGCATGTAGAACTTGATGTTTCACACCCAATTTCCCACGAGCTCCAAGAGCCATGACATTTCCAATCTGGACACGGGCAGGAGATTGAGCTGACGATCAGCAAGGTGGACGTTGAGGGCAACCGAGTTACTGTGTCAAACCCAGCGGAGCCGTAGCTGTCTTGAAGACGGGTAGCCCTGGCCGCGACAGCCATTGATGGCAAGCACCATTTTTTGCGAGATGTTTACCGAGACCCTGTGCGCAATCACTTTGTGGCGCTGAGTACTTGTTTGGTTGAGCAGCCAAACGTAGTTTGAGGTTTCAATTACAAGATGTGTGCGAATTGGGCTCAAAATGAAGCGGTTGCAAAGTGTGGTCCGTCTTGTCAGGTACTTATGGACGCTCTACTTATTTGATTTGAATGTTGCATGCATCATGTACGTCACTGGATCCGACAGGCCCGTTTTTTTTTTTTTGGTTGGCGACTTTTTTACCCTAGACAAGCAAAAACAGCCGTTTTTTCGTTTTCGTTTTCGCTGCTAAAGCTGGTGGGTTTCAAAAACGGCGGCTTGGCTGGAGACGGCACCCAGGTGTCAGAGAAGGGCGCAGGGGAAGGTGCTGGTGCCACCACGACCATCGCAGAGCTGGAGGCATTGCGATGCGGGCCATGACGGGGCCCTTTCTCTTTTTTTGACGGAGTCATGAGCCACAGGTCGACCGGAATTATGGCCTTGCCCTCAAACTCACCGGCCAAAATGACACCTAACCAAGGGGCTACAAGAAGTTTTTTGCTCCTCTTGTCGAAGGGCTGCTCCAGCATTTCGACCTTCAGTTTCAAGATGCTACAGAAGCCCATGATTCACAACGTCGCCCCTTGCAGGTAGGCTCCAAAGTGAAGGGAGCCGCAAGCTCAGCTGAAAGCTTTGGGGTCTCAGCCCAGGCTCCGGGGTGGTCCGGGGCGGCCTTGAGGTAAGGTTCCACAAGGGTTCCACCAGGGTTCCACCAGGGTTCCACCAGGGTTCCACCAGGGTTCCACCAGGGTTCCACCACGGTTCTACGAGGGCTGCGAGGTGGTGCGAGCATTAAAAAGAGCACCGCATGCTGTTGGGGATATCACCTGACCTGAGTTTTTTTTGTTTTTTTACATATGTTATTTCATATGTTTGTTTTATTTATTTATTTATTTATTTATTTGTTTATATATTGATTCATTGATGTCTTGAATCTTCATGGCCCAGAGCCAAAGGTTGACAGGTGTTGGCAGCAAGCGGCAGTTGTGTTTCTTCATGCTGAACCTGAGCGTCGTTTGCAGCCGTGCTTTGCCCTCGCCGAGGTTGTGCGAGCAGTGCGGGACCGGGATGCACCCGCGCATGTTCCATGGAAGAAAATGCCATGCCCGGGCCCCGGGTGTGGTCGGGGTTCACAGGACTACGGCGTTTTCGTGGACATCAATCTGGGGCGCACGGACGCCTTGATGCCAAACTCCATGCTGGGCGATGTGGCCTCGCCCCCAGAAGGCTCTTGCGCTTTCCGTTGCGACGCGATGGCCTGCAGACCTCGGCGGCTTTCCAGCCGAACCAGGAGATCGAGGCCGGGCGAGCCGGCTCGTTGGGCGTTGCGGGAGCAAGCCCGCGGCTCCGCGGCCGCCCGAGGTCTGGATCGCACGAACGGATGCAGCCGCCAACCGCGTCACTGTGAGCGGCGCGGCATGCAAGTGGCTTCAACATGAAAGCATGAACCATCATTCATCTTCAGCTTGAATCTTCATCCCAGGTTACGTCGAGCCCACTGCCGACATGCGTGCGCAACGTGGCGCGAGGACTGCACTGCGAGTGTGTGTTTTCCTACAAGGCCTGTAGCTGCCATCCCGGCATGAAGAAGCTGGCCACCGGAAAGCCTTACCCATCCTAACCGTCTTAACCCCCCGCCTCAGCGAGCGATTCATTTTGCAAGGGTGTGCGAAGGGTTTTGCTTTTCCGATTTTTACGACAGTACTTTTTGGGAAAGCTAGCCGTCGCCTGTCTCATCCCAAAGGAGATTTTGGCACGGCTACCGCTATTGGGAGTGTATGCTTTTTGGAGGATACCTTGGGCTGTTTTTAGAAAGGAACCAAGAGGAAACCACTCATTTTGGAGAAGCCCCTTTGACAAATTTTCTTTTGGTGCACGAAGTCCGCCCTTTTGCTTGCAGGAAGGCTGGGGCCAAGTCGACAAAAGAGAGCCTACAACCTAGAACCTGCGCGTGCGTTGGGAGCTTGCCCATGGAGAGTTGCCGCCATCTTGTGAAACACCTGCTGTATTTGTGGCAATCCTTGAGCTTGCTTGCTGATTGCTGCCTCGCTTGTTATTGAACATCAGCATCATCGTCGTCATCATGATTGTCATCATCATCATCGTCGTCATCATGATTGTCATCATCATCATCGTCGTCATCATGATCGTCATTGTCATTGTCATCATCATCATCATCATCATCATCATCATTGTCATCATCACCCGTCGTCAGCATGATTGTAATCATCATTATCGTCATCATCATCATGATCATCATCGTCGTCATCATCATCATCGTCGTCGTCATGATCATCATCATCGTTGTCATCATGATCATCATCATCATGATCATCATCGTCATCATCATCAGTCGTCGTCATCATCATCATCGTCGTCATCATGATCGTCAGTGTCATCATCAGCATCGTCATCATCACCCGTCGTCATCATGATTGTCATCATCGTCATCGTCGTCATCGTCATCGTCATCATCATCATCGTCGTCATCATCATCATCATCGTCATGATCATCATCATGATCGTCATCGTTATCTTGATTGTCATCTCCTCATCATCATCATCATGATTGTCGTCATCATCGTCGTCATCATCATTATCATCATCGTCGCCGTCATGATTGTCATCTCATGATGATCATCGTCGTCATCATGATTGTCATCACCATCATCGTCATCATAATCGTCATTGTCATCATCATCATCATCGTCATCATCACCCGTCGTCATCATGATTGTCATATCATCATCATCGTCGTCATCATGATAGTCATGATCATCATCATCGTCGTCATCATAATCGTCATCCGTCGTCATCATGATTGTCATCATCATCATCATCCTCGTCGTCATCATGATTGTCATCATCATCATCGTCGTCATCATGATTGTCATCATCATCATCATCGTCGTCATCATGATTGTCATCATCATCATCATCGTCGTCATCATGATGTCATGATCATCATCATCGTCGTCATCATGATCATCATCGTCGTCATCATGATTGTCATCATCATCATCATCGTCGTCATCATGATTGTCATCATCATCATCGTCGTCGTCATCATGATGTCATGATCATCATCATCGTCGTCATCATGATCATCATCGTCGTCATCATGATTGTCATCGTCATCATCATCGTCGTCATCATGATTGTCATCATCATCATCATCGTCGTCATCATGATCATCATCGTCGTCATCATGATTGTCATGATCATCATCATCGTCGTCATCATGATCATCATCGTCGTCATCATGATTGTCATCGTCATCATCATCGTCGTCATCATGATTGTCATCATCATCATCATCGTGTCATGAGTCATCATGATCATCATCGTCGTCATCATGATTGTCATCGTCATCATCATCGTCGTCATCATGATTGTCATCATCATCATCATCGTCGTCATCATGATCATCATCGTCGTCATCATGATTGTCATGATCATCATCATCGTCGTCATCATGATCATCATCGTCGTCATCATGATTGTCATGTCATCATCATCGTCGTCATCATGATTGTCATGATCATCATCATCGTCGTCATCATGATCATCATCGTCGTCATCATGATTGTCATGATCATCATCATCGTCGTCATCATGATTGTCATCATCATCATCATCGTCGTCATCATGATCATCATCGTCGTCATCATGATTGTCATGATCATCATCATCGTCGTCATCATGATCATCATCGTCGTCATCATGATTGTCATCGTCATCATCATCGTCGTCATCATGATTGTCATGATCATCATCATCGTCGTCATCATGATCATCATCGTCGTCATCATGATTGTCATGATCATCATCATCGTCGTCATCATGATTGTCATCATCATCATCATCGTCGTCATCATGATCATCATCGTCGTCATCATGATTGTCATCGTCATCATCATCGTCGTCATCATGATTGTCATCATCATCGTCATCGTCGTCATCATGATCATCATCGTCGTCGTCATGATTGTCATGATCATCGTCATCATCATCGTCGTCATGATCGTGATCATCATGATTGTCATCTTCATCATCATCGTCGTCATCATGATCATCATCGTCGTCATCATGATTGTCATGATCATCATTATCGTCGTCATCATGATTGTCATCATCATCATCATCGTCGTCATCATGATCATCATCGTCGTCATCATGATTGTCATCATGTCATCATCATCATCGTCGTCATCATGATCATCATCGTCGTCATCATGATTGTCATCGTCATCATCATCGTCGTCATCATGATTGTCATGATCATGATCATCGTCGTCATCATGATTGTCATCATCATCATCATCGTCGTCATCATGATCATCATCGTCGTCATCATGATTGTCATGATCATCATCATCGTCGTCATCATGATTGTCATCATCATCATCATCGTCGTCATTGTCATCATCATCGTCATCGTCGTCATCATGATCATCATCGTCGTCGTCATGATTGTCATGATCATCGTCATCATCATCGTCGTCATGATCGTGATCATCATGATTGTCATCTTCATCATCATCGTCGTCATCATGATCATCATCGTCGTCATCATGATTGTCATGATCATCATCATCGTCGTCATCATGATTGTCATCATGATCATCATCGTCGTCATCATGATTGTCATGATCATCATCATCGTCGTCATCATGATCATCATCGTCGTCATCATGATTGTCATCGTCATCATCATCGTCGTCATCATGATTGTCATGATCATGATCATCGTCGTCATCATGATTGTCATCATCATCATCATCGTCGTCATCATGATCATCATCGTCGTCATCATGATTGTCATGATCATCATCATCGTCGTCATCATGATTGTCATCGTCATCAAATCGTCGTCATCATGATTGTCATCATCATCGTCATCGTCGTCATCATGATCATCATCGTCGTCGTCATGATTGTCATGATCATCGTCATCATCATCGTCGTCATGATCGTGATCATCATGATTGTCATCTTCATCATCATCGTCGTCATCATGATCATCATCGTCGTCATCATGATTGTCATCGTCATCATCATCGTCGTCATCATGATTGTCATCATCATCGTCATCGTCGTCATCATGATCATCATCGTCGTCGTCATGATTGTCATGATCATCGTCATCATCATCGTCGTTATGATCGTGATCATGATGATTGTCATCTTCATCATCATCGTCGTCATCATGATCATCATCGTCGTCATCATGATTGTCATCGTCATCATCATCGTCGTCATCATGATTGTCATCATCTTTGTCATCGTCGTCATCATGATCATCATCGTCGTCGTCATGATTGTCATGATCATCGTCATCATCATCGTCGTCATGATCGTGATCATCATGATTGTCATCTTCATCATCATCACCAGCAGCATGGCTTCTTCTTCTCCTGTTGCGTCGTCGCCGAGGCTACATCCCGGAAGGCTTCATGATCCCAGATCCCAAGCGCCACGTGGAGATGCTGATGGGCCGGGAGGAGCTGATTGACCCTGCTGCTTGGCGTGGCAGGGGGCGAAAAACTTCTGCTTGAGGTTAAACTCAGGGCACCTTCCCACCCCCTGCCAAAAAAGAACACGAAAAACATGAACAAATGAGGATAGGTTCATTTTGACTTCCCTCTACAAAAAGTGGTAAGCGGGTTCTCTCCCAGAAAGACATCCATTTTGTTGGAGGTCGAGCTCTGGTTGATGGGTCGTGTCGGGAGCGTAGGGAAGGTCAAGACTCAGCACCAGCGGCAAGGTAATCTACGGGGAAAGAGTTCTCCAATGCCACGAGTATGGGTGTCTTTTTGGGACCCCCAAAATGGCTTCGGTTGTGCTTGTGGTTTTCCTTTAAAGCCACCTGAATGGCATACCAAAAGAAGAAAGCCATATCAATGAGGTGATTTAATTGGAACATGACTGCCCCAGATTCTACTCATCGGAATGCCGAGCCAAGGAGCCGACACCATGGTACGAGTGGGAGAAGAAGTACCCGGGCTTCGTGAAGTTTCAAGAGAAGGACGGCAGCTGACGTGGCTGCGTGACGTGGCGGGATGGCGCAGTCGTTTGCGAGTCGCTCTCATGCTGCTTGGGCACAGATATCCTATGAGCGAGCGGCAGAATTACTGGAAGGCCTTTGTTAGGGAAGTACAGGTAGCTCATAGACTTGTATGCTTGTTTACTTCCTCTGAATCGGAGATCGGAGAATCCATTGATGCTCAAGGTATGTCACAACTCATCCATGTTTTTGTTGATCTGCTGGTTTCTTGGTTTATTTAGAATTGCTGTGGAAAGGGGGAGAGCAAACGGCCAGCAGGCAAAATCCAAGTTTAGCGCCCAGTGCTTTGCCGGATCTTGTTGGGCTGGTGGGGCTTCAATTTTTCCCGGGCCACCAATCCAAACCTCCTCTAAATGGACGAACACCTGCACCACCCAAACCCTGCAATGATGATTTTTCTGTAAACACCAACGCACGTTTTGGTTTCAGCCATGGTTTCTTAGGTGGTGCGAAGTGGATTTCGCAACCCTCCACAGTGTCACTTCAAATCTCCAAGCCATGAATTCGAGTCCCCAAGCCATGAGCACTTCACCCGGCGCCCCAACTTGGTGCCAGGACCAAGTGATCGTCATCTCCGGGGCTGCCCATGGCTTCTACGGCTTCAAGGAGCTCGTCCACTCAGAGCAGGCCGGCCCGGAAAGCCATGTGAGCCACGTGCTCAAAACCGATTCGGGGAGAAGAAGGTTGGTAAGGGACAAGCCCAACCATAAATAGCTGCGGATATCCGCCTGCTTATTTCTTTGCGTGGTTCTGGGTAGACCATTTTAATTCCGGGTTTTGATTGCGGCTCATTTGCGCTGGGGTTAAACAGCTGGAGTCGTTTTTTTTCCATGCGTCCAGGTCCACATCAACATCCCCAAGCACTTGCAGAAGCCTGATGCCAAGCAGCCCACAAAGGAGGAGCTGGAGATTCCGCTGGAGGAGCCTTGGCGATTGGTCGCCTGTGGAGTCCAGCGGCGTATTTCGCGGCAGGTTGAACCGTCGCCTTTCGCCAATCGGCCATGGGTCATAACTTCTATGGCGAGCCATTTTGGGGCGGGAATGAACACCCATGTACAACCGATTTTCTGATGTTCAGCGTTCACCAGGGGTAGAGGGTCGTGGGTCGACTGGCACGGCCGTCTTGTCTTGAAATTCCAGGCCATGCCCATGCCCAACTACGACAGCGGCATCAAGCCGGAGATCCACACCAAGTATCGCGGTGGCCTCAGCTGCGAGAGGAAGACATTTGCCTGTTGGATTGGAATCTTTTAGACTTGAGCTTTTTTGGACATCAAGTTGGGTTTTCCTCTAAACCCCACAAAAGGTTTCTACTTTTTGCACAGCGGTCAACAGCAACCAAGGGAAAGCAGAGCTCAGGTGCTCTTGGATGTTGATCTTGAGGGGGTGGGGACGCGTGGTTTTGGTTCGCTGCAAACCCAGGCCAGCCGCCCATGAACGATCCGGAGTGGCGGTGGCACGACTACATGGGGCCGATCAAGCCCATGAAGTGGTCTGTGGCCTCCTCAGTCGTTTTGCAAGCAAGACCCGGGGCTTCGGCGCCCCCCAGTTGAATGGAGAAAGGGCGTGACATGAGTTTGTCTTCTTGGGGGACCCCCCCAAAGAAATGGCGGCTTTCCTTTGGTTTCCCTTTAAGATAGGAAAACACACAGACCCACATGTCGGCTTCAAAGCCATTTTGGTACCCAAAGTCAATGGGTTGCGGTCCTCGTGCCCAGTTGGTGGTGGACCAAGCTGGCCCCTTCGTGCCGGAAGAGAAGCCAGGGAAGAAGAAGGTTGCGGCCAGTGAGGACCGTCGGTTTCATGGTTTCCTCCATTTGGCTGTGATTGTCAAAATCAATGGGATCCCATTTTGGGGTAGGTGCACCACCCATTTTAGAGCCTGTTTTAGCGGGGATTGGGATGTTTACTGGGGGTACGGGATTTTGACCCATGGCCATTTCCCTTTTTGGAACCTCCAAAAGAGGCAGTTTCAGACCAACTTGCTTGTCCGCTTTGCCTTGTTCTCCTGGAAGCTGACTTGGCCAGGAGGGCGGCGATGAGAGCTAGGCCGAAACAGCCTTTGTGGGAGCATGAGCGATGAGCGCAACTGGAGCAATGGGGTATCTTTGTTTGAG